AAAAAAAAAAAAAAAAATTGGTTGGGTTAGGTTTGATTGGGATTCTGATTTTGTATTAAAATAATAATTAAAATAAAAGTATTAAAGTTGATTTAATGTAAAAATAGGAGAAAGGTGATTGATAGTTAAAATTATGTGAATAGATAAATAGTGAATTAAAGTTGATGTGATGTGTATGACTGTAACGATGATGATTGATTGATATTATTTAATTATATTAATAATATTGAGGAGAGTGAGTTGAGTTAAATTTTGAGTTGTGGTTGGATTGTTTTTGAAAATATTTATAAACAAGCATGCACTAAATTCAGCATGGACCTTGCAAAATAAGAATTACCCAAAACAATAGAAGAATACCTTGCCATTCTTTGAAATGCTAACCAGCAGAGATGTTTTGTGCCTGGGAGAAGTTGGATGAAATCACAAATTCAGTAAGTAAAATTTATCTAGAAACATAAATAAATACATGAAAGACTGAAGAAGAGAGTAGTCTGTGACTACCAAAAAGAAAAAAGGGAGATGATGCCACGAAGAGATTTAAACATAGAACGTATAACACGAACTCTAAGGAAGTAAATGCCAAAGCTTCATATGTTAAAAGCATCCTATAAGCCACACACATTATTTTATAGTAATCTTAAATGCATGAACAGATTTTTCTGTCACAAGTACTTAATCGGTCAGAAAATAGAAGAAAATGATTTCAAGTGAGTTTATGCTAGCTACTCGGAGCACAGCTGATAAACAAATATACGCAAGAACACAGTGCGCTTTGAAGAAATACCCCTCTTCTTCACACACTTAACATTGGTCAGATAAGTTGTGTGACAAACTTATAGTAGCTATCCACTCAACGAAATTTGAAGGTCATTAACATATATTAAGACAGAGAAAAAAGCTTGATCTGCATTGGATCAAAAAGAACCATACCCAGCAACTGACATAAGTGATACAGCTTTTTCATGTCCAAGAAGTGTGACCTTCAATGCTTGCTGGCCCCGTTTTCCAGAGGAGTTGATCGACCAAAGGCGAACTGTACAATCTTCACCTCCACTAGCAAATATTTTTCCAGAATTATCACCCAGTAGTTTATCAGAGAGTGTAAGCACTGGTCCAGTATGACCTTTGAAGCATCGATTTCCTCCCTACAAAACAATCACTTAAGGACTTAAGAGTATTGACAAGTGCACCTCATCACTCAAGGACTCAAGCACTGATTTAGGTAAACTATGAGTATAACCAATAAATTGTGATGTATCTGAATTCTGAAGTTGAGACTAAGCACAAATACCTTGAACCATAGCCGAATAAAACGGTCAGTGCTTGAGGTTATCAGAGCATTATCATCTCCTTCGGACCCACTCTGATATAAGCACGCTTCACTCGGTGAAAAAAGTCTAATGATCACACAATTTTGTACAACAGTTACATAAAAATGTGTACAATGCGGATAAGAACAATACTAGCGCGCCCTTCCACAAAGAGCTTCAGACATATGTCACTTTTCTATAAAATTCAAATCTATTTTGGAAAATCTCTTGTTTGATGCATAGGTCAATATCAAATTGTACTACTACTACTATTGTGGCTTTAGATAATTAAAGAAAGCAATAGGGATCACAAATTCTAAAATCAAACATACTGTAGGATAGAGATGAAAAGAAATGGCGAACCTCATGCATGTAATCCTAGAGTTGTGATTTCCTCGAGTGGCAACTGAGATTCTTCCATTGACAAGATTTTCAGTGTTCAAAGATTTTATATATTGGCCCTGAAAATGTGATCAATGAAACAAGTATGTTGATAAAAAAAACTATAATACAAATCTTTGGGCCATTATTTCGTAAAACACATTGATGGCAGGGTTATACCAAATCGTCCCAAACTCAGGAAAAGCCCCCCAACCAGGAACAAGCATTTTTTGGAGGATAAAAATAATATCAAGGAAGAAGATGCCCTATTGTCAAAGGTTCAACGAGCTAAGCATTAGTGAGCTTAATTTACACCATAACTTATTGATGGTATCTTCACATAGACGTGATCATGATAGATAATGCGAAACTTTTCACCAGTTTCTTTTCTGGATCATTTTCCAAGAATTCGGAAAAACACATTACCTGCGAGAATATAATGGAGTTCCTGTCTAACAGCATGTGGTCCAGAGATTCTCCAGCTGTGTAAACATCACGAACCAAAGGATCGACATATTTAAACTGGCGTAAAGAAATGTGCCTCGACAGATAAGCTTCCCTGACACTGGATGCTTTAAGGTCTATAGGTACATGGGGCCATTCCTGACTGAAGTCCAAAGGGAGGCAGACCAAACATTCAACCACACACACAACGTATAGCAACCAAGAAAATTTTCACCCTCAAATGACATTGAAATAAACAGAATGACAGAAAATTTAATACAAACACAAAGCAAATATATTCCCAATCAACTCAAAATGCAATCCATTCATCTTATCCACTCACTCACTCACATGAACATGGGCCAACAGTTCAAAGACTCGAACTTTCTTCAGAATTCACAGATTTCAACATGGGCCAACATGGGGAAAACCATGAATCCCCCTTAACAGCAACGCCACAAAGTAATTACTGACCTGTATAACGATCTCCAGACAGAATCGGAATACGCAGCTCGATTGAGGTATTTGCACGACATGGCCAAGCTGGAGACGTCTTGGAGACAGAGGTAACCGGCGCAACGCGTCAGGGCGTCCATGTCGAGATCCGTAATCGCCGTGGAGCTCCGACCCGGCGAGGATGGCTCGGCCATCTGGTATTTACTTCACTTCAGCTGGACCTTTACAGGCGCTCTCTCTCGCTCCCGTCATCTTTCCGACTATCTAGGTGAAGGTCCATGGTTTAATCGTTTTGCAATTTGTTCAAGCATTTGTTTGGTGAAAAATAATAAATATCCTCTCTATGTATAATTCCCGAATGCGCTGAGCCTACGTGGCTGCTTCTGGTGCTTCGGAATCCTACTTAGTCAAGAATCATGCTTGGTAATTAGGTTAATAATTAATAATCTAGGTTTGGACATTCCATAAATATTATTTAGCTAACTTAGGTATTTTAATATCATTGTACTAATATAACTCTTTAATTCCTTATAATTTTACATAATGAGACACTAAGTGACTAATATATCCCTGACTTTTGATTTGTTTCCTTCAATTAGCTATTGAATTGTAAATATATTTTAAAAGTTGATAATTTTTGTATTTCTTATCGGTTTTACATATATAATATATAAAATTAATCACCTTTTGATGATCTTCAATTTGACATCCATATTGTATATATTGAAATAAATAAATTATATTTATATTTATAATAATAATAAATAATTATATTTATTAAAATTCATTAGAAAGATAAAATTATTTCTCAATTGATATAATTATGTTTAATGTAGTTATATGTTGTAAGTTAAAAAAATTATTATAATATAACACAGGTAAGTCGCACAAATAAAAAGTGTCATACTAAATATATAATAATATATATTTTTATAAAAGGTATTTAAATTTTTAACTATTTTTCTCATTAATTTTAGATTTTAAGAAAAAAAATTAACAAGCACCCGTGTAATACACGAGAGTTGTACTAGTAAATAAATAAATAAAAATCATAAGCTTCTCTATTTAGAAATAGAAATAGTTTTATTAGTTGCATAAAAAACTTCAACTTTTTATTTAATTACAAATAAAACTCAACTTTTTCAGTTTAACAAAAAAAAATATAAAACTTTATAAGTTTTTCAATTTTGTCTCGCTCACTTGAACCCCGCCAACTACCGCGAGCCTATTGACCAAAAGGTTGAGTTTTTTATCGTGCTCAGTCGAACTCAGCTTTATGACCAGTCGAGCGGAGTTGAATTAACTAGCTGCTCATTTAATGAATCAAGAATTTCAATATAGAACTCCATCCCCAACTTGAAGTCCAATATTTTTGGGACTCAAATCTATTTTAATATACTTGTATTTTTTTATTGATTAATCTAAAAAATATTATCTTTGATAATGGTGTCCACTTCACCACTTTCCCCAATACTGAATT